TTGTATTTGCTCTTTCTTCTCGTTTCGGGACACGGAAAAAAAAAAAAAAACGTGTCTCCATTGTTCCTTTTTGATACAGATTGTTCTTTTGTAAAATAAAGAAAAAAAAAACCACAAGAAAAATGTTATGATTTAAAATTATGATTTAATTTAAGTTTATTTAATAATTTTGTTATTTTTATTTTTTAATGTATATTTGTGATGTTTGTCTTGATTATTTAAGTTGCTTTTTTTAATATTTGCAAAGGCACTTCATGTCAATGGGAATTTTTTAAAGAAGATGTTATTTAAGAGGGATGTACAAATTGTTATGTTACCCTTTCCTTTACCATTTTTTGAAAGAAGGAATTAGCCAAGACTATTTTTCCAAATAAATATTGCTAAACCTGAAAGCTGATTGTGTCCAAGTTTCTGTCCACACAACGGCAGGCCCTTCTTTCGGGGTCTGTGAGCAAAGTTAATCAGTAACATCTGTTGTCTTTCCCCTGGCGACCCCATGGTGGGCTTTTTTTGTGCCGACAAGAGTTGGCTAGTGCCAGGAGTTGAAAGCGTCTCCATGGAAACAGGAGAGGGGTCCTATTCATAAAAAACAATGTCCCTACGCTGGATTTACCACTCCCTATTTCTGCGCCTAAAAGAACCGGTCAGGTAATTGATGGCTTTAAAATTCAGACGGCTGGAGAAAAACACCCTCCGGACATTTGTCCCACAGAGCAGACTGGGGACACAAACACTTTTAACACTTTTCTGAACACATTGAGGGATTTTTTAAGGTCTTCTCCCACCAGCGATGAGTTCTTAGCCCTACTTTGGGTCAATATAAACCTTAAAAACAAGTCAAACTTTGTCCCATGTTCTTTAGAATCGCCACTTTTACCTGGTCTGTTTTCTGCTCTGGTCGAAAAACTGTAAATCATTAGCCTGGAAGAGGCTGCTTCCAGTCGGTCTCTAACCCGGCAGCACTGGAGGGGACAGACCTCGGCAGACAATGATGGAATTGACAATGGGGCACACAAAGGGCCACCCTCAGGAGAGTCCACCAGTCCCTCGGCATGCTGGGAGAAAAAGAGTAACAGGAACAGATGTTGTTGAGTAACAGATGCCTTCTGGCCAGAGTTCAGCCATGACCAGCCCGGCCTTCAGGGGATCAAGATGGAAGGGGAGAGAAAAGAAAAGGAAAAAAAAAAATGGGAGCCCTCAAAGAGAGACATTTCCATTTTAAAAGGCCGGTCAATCTCTTTCTGAAAACTGTTCATAGAAGAAACATTCCAGTGAGAACAGAGGACTCTTTCAAATGATTGGTGGCATTTGAAAGAACACGTGTTCACTAAAATTCAGATTTACAGAGCTTAAGTGGTAAATATATTCATAAACTCAAACGCAATCTAATCATTACTTTCACTGCTGGACTTTTCTGTTTTTTGGCCTCGGGGACCAACAGAATAGATTAATAATTACTATAATAATCAATTCTGAAATCTACTTTTTCCAAAAGGCTGCAGCTATGCTGTTTTTTTTTTTTATTTATTCCCTTTTTACTCAGGAACTACTTGGACTTTGAACCTCCTGCTTTTCACAACTAACAAACCAGCCAAAAATCCTCTGGTCACACACTCTCAACTGGAAAATAGATAAAAAATATTTAAAAAAGACATTTTAAAAAGTCTTCCAAGTGCGAGAAAGCCATTTTTCACAATGTGTAAATGAATATCTAATATCACCAAATGTTGAGGTGTGGTGGTGGGTCAGCTGGAGGGATTTGTCCAGCACAGGTCATCACGCCCCGGAGGAGGTGGTCAGATCTGCACGGTGAGCCGGAAAACTAAGAAACCAGCACGAGCAGCCGGCCTGGAGTCATAGCAGACATTTTATTTGGAGAAAGAAATCTTTGAAATCACTCATTTTTAAAGTCAGTTAATTCATCGAGTACAACATCTAGGTTCTCAGAAAAAGTTAAAATCATGCCTTTAGTCTTTTTTTTCCGTTTTTTTTTATACACAAAAGATGAAGTTTCACGATGACAAGTGATTTTCCTTAGTAAAATGACTTCTTTTTTCTGACATATTTCACTTCCGTTAAAGAAATATCAATGTAGAAAAACAATTATAATCCCTCTCGAAAGAACAAAAACAAAATAAAGGCATACACAGTACATTACAATGCGCTGACATGGCTTCAAAGCACACATATTACAGTACTGTACAAGGGTCCACCTCAGACAAGATGCAACAGAACCACATCTACGGCCGAGGATATCAAACCTCAGAAACAGCCCAACACTGCTTATTTACAGAACCCTGACCACAGCGTGCTGTTGGCAACTGGCAAATGAGGTAAAATTTTTTATAAGGAGAGCACCAAAGGTCTGGCTTTGAACTTGAATTCAAATGTAGCTTATTGTAGGTGTTTCAGTCCAGCTTTTTCGAAAAAAACGCTGCTTTTTTTTACTTGAATCTGCTGTTTAGTTTGCTGTTCAGAGGCCAATGAGCTCACGCTGCCAGGTCCGCTCCCAGTAAATAAGCAGTATATTTCTCCGTTGAAGTGGGACATTTAATGTCCGCGTTTATAGTGAAGTCCGAGCAGAGAGAATCCCAATCTACAACAATGCTGGACTCACTCGTTTTTTTAAATAAAAATCTTAATTCAAGTTAGTCTTTTTTTTTTTTTGTCAAATTATTTTAATGAGTTGAAAACTTCTCAAGCTCAAATACCTCATTTGCTGAGGAGGTCCACATACATTTCTTAAAAGGCTCTTTAAAGCAAACTACTAGCTATAATATGAAGCCTCAACTAACATTAAGGAAAAATTAGCAAAAAGCAGGGATAGGAGATCTTTTAACGTCACCTCAAAGGTGTTCAAGTGGGAAAACAGAATCCCAGTACTTTACGGGACAGCAATAAGTGTAAGCAATGTGCAAACCTAACTGTGCATAGAGATCAAATTGTAATAAATATCAACGTGATGAGTGACGCCGTCACCTGTTTAGCATTGTCACAACGTGTGGGGGAGATTGTACATTTCCATGATTCTTTTAGTTTTACTAAAATGTTAAAAAGGTCGTTTTTCTAATAGTGCTTTCGGAAAAAGCTTTAATTGGTTTTTGTAAGCAACAAACACTTTATCGTTAACCAGAGTCCAAAAAAAGACAAACACAGCCAAACACTCAATAAAAATCCTGATAATAATCGCTGATTTGTCGTCGTTATTCGCCGCCTTTTACCTCCTCTGAATGGCTCTTTCGCTTTGAAAGGGGTTTCGTGTTCGGCTTGTTTGGGAGTCCCGGGAGCAACGGATGGCGATGGAGTGCCGTGGTGCGAGGCTGGACCTCCAGGTGGACGATCTGCAGCACGCTTTTCGAAAAGTACATGGATCTGTCTTAGCTGTAGTTGTCACTGTTTCTTAGTTTGATGTAGCTTAAAAAGATGTGAAGCATAATGCCTGTCTTTGGACCACCGAGGTATTTGTTGGCGTGTGTAGGTGTGTGTGTGTGTGTGTGTGTAAAACATGCTCAAATGTTTCCAAACAGTTCAAATGAGAAAATAGCGTCCCTCTGAGCCGTGAGAGGCTCATCTTGGTTTCGAGGTATATGATCCTGGGGCTGACCGGTGGCACCTGTGGACAATGTTACGAAGCATCCCGACAGATGACGGTGAATTCGATTCACTCCGATGTGCGCGGCGGCACCCCCGCCCAGCCCTCCCCACCCCCCCCCATACTGCTTTCCCACCCCTAATCTCCGCCCTAGTCTCGCTCTGCTCAAACTGCTTTCAACAGCCCTCTGAATAGTTTCGGTTCACCTTCAGTTCCATTAATTCAGGAAGTGCATGGCGAGAAAAAATAAAAATAAAAATTCCACTTTTACAGAAAAGTGGAAGTAAAACTGACTTGATTTGATATGCAAGACAGTGGATGGCAGCGAAATCCCATAACTGCTCATCATACTGACCAAAGAATTCAGCGTGTATAATAAGAGGGGCATAAACATTAGCTATCCAACCATTAGTCACCTCATCCTCATCACAGCACACCAGGCTGAGCCTCATTCCCTAATATGCTATGCCCTCATAAATGATGACCGCTACTTAGTCCGGGTCGAGACCTTTACCCTTTTTAGGTTTTAGTAAGGGAGCCTCTCTCTTCTTTGGTGCCATAAGTTGCAAAAAACCATGCTGGAGGGGAACTTTCGAAACGTGTCCAGTCTCTTGAATGACTGGAGCAGCATTGGCTGTCTTATTAAAACACATGCTGGCATTTTGACATAATTCGCCTCCTTAAACACCGGCAAATGCATCACTGGTGGGGCATCGCAGACTGTTCCCACTCTTCTTTAAGGATTTCAAGGTTGTAAACCGATAACATATGACTGAACCTGAATTGAAAGAACTGAAAGTCAAGAAAAAGAGAAAAAAAAACCCTCACCTGCACCCTCTACATCTGCAGACCCTGCCCCCGTTTTCCTCACGTTTTCGGCTTGTTCCTGCAGATTTCTACCGGCAAAAATAAGGCTGCTCTGATCAGGCCCCTTAGGGCTGGCCGCCAGCTTTTGAAGTGGTCTGCCGACACAGACGGCACACGCTGTTAGTGTCCCTTAATGCTCTCTTCACCACATTGCACGAGCATCAAATGAAAATGGATCCAAAGGCAACAGGCGCATCTCCTCCTGTTTGAAAAACTACAGCAGCATTTTGTTCCATTTCAGAAGTTTGCCCGCAAACAGGCTGTGTTTTTTTCCCCAACAAGAATATGAATAAATGCTACAGGAGCACTCCCATTCTCTCCTTTTATCAGGCAGCAGCTGCTCTGTTAGGAGAGCATGAACGCAGCACGCCTGATTTTACCAGAACGTTCCGCTGGCGTCCCGCTCCAGCCAGCGTTACCTGACACAGGAAAACAACTACTGGACCGGTAAACGGGACAGAAGACGTCCGTCTGCCTGCAATCCTTCTTCGAACTGGAAAAAGATGCTGACGATGATGTGGGGAGTTGGGTTACAGTGCCCCCAATCCACAGAAGGGACGACCACGAGAAGTTCTTTTTGGGAAAAACAGTGTTAGTAGATATTTATGCTACTGAATTCCCAAGAAAGCTGCTCTAACTCACACATTTTTCTGGGTATTTTTTGCTCAGAAACAGAAAGTCTGAATGAGTTCATTTTCAAAGCATTTCCAGCCTTCTCTGAGAAATCCTGATTTTTTCAGGTGAATATAGGGACAGAGTTTTTGCTTTTTGCTGACGCAGCTCTCAAACAGTGGCTTTACTGCCCCCCCCCCTCCACCTGCTGCTCACACCTGATGATTGAGGCGTTGTCTAGTTTGAAAACTCTGACATTGCACCTAACGCTAGTCCTACGGAGAGGTTTTGCCTTTCAACAGGATGCTGCTTTTTTGGCTTTTCAGCAAACCAGGATCAGACGCCAGTATATGGGTGCTGGGGATCCGGCTGATCAGAGCTTCCTTACTTTTGCCGCTGTTTAATAATGCGACTGTTAAAAATACTGCTCTGCAGTCACATCAGAAATGCGGCAACACAGAAAATTAAAGCAGGAACAACTACTAAGATGGGCCTTCTGGAATTGGAACATTCTTCTGCAGAAGTTTCCAAAATGGTTGTAGAATTTCAAAACAACTTAAAAGTACATTATTTTTTTATAGTTAAAAGGCCTTCCAGCCCTGAGCAGGAACCCTGACTGAAGGCGGCACTGAGCTTAATTAAATAATTAGACCTGTACGTCTGTAAGCACTCTACCCACCAGAAAAAGAAAAGAAAGACAAAGGCTGTGAGGACCAACCGGGCGTTGGCTCAAGGAATGGGGGAAAACCTGACCTCCTCCTCCTCCTCCCGCCTGCGTTTCCCTTTCTCCGTCTTTAGGTGGAGGAGGCTCCGTGGCCGGGCATGCTGGCCATGCTGCCGACCATGCCGGCCGCCCCGGCCATCCCTGAGGGCCCGCCCATCGCCGGGGGACTGTGCTTGGTGGGTGAGGTCAGGTCGGCGCCGCGCCCCGGGACCTGGCCGGGCGCCGGGGGGGCGTGGTGGGCGTGCTGCAGGGCGTGGCGCTCCAGCAGGGTGCGGTGGGTGAAGGCCCGGTGGCACACGTTGCACTGGAAGGTGCGCTCGGCACGGTGGGTGCGCATGTGCACGTTGAGGGAGCTCTTCTGGGTGAAGCGCTTGCCGCACATGGTGCACTGGAAGGCCCGGACGCCGGTGTGCACCACCATGTGTTTGAGGAGGTAGTCCCGCAGGGAGAAGGAGCGCCAGCAGATGGAGCACTGGTGAGGTTTCTGACCTACAGAGGCAGGTAGGCGCCCGTGCACACACACACACACACACACACACACACACACACGCACACAAACACCAGTCTAGTGAAACTGCAGTTTCAGAGTCATTCGTTAACTGGTGGAGACTGCTGTTCACCGGAAGGGTGCACAACAAAACCAGATCAGTGCTTTAGGGGGCGCTCTGCCCGGAGCAGGAAGCTGGAGGGTTTTAAGTCAAACGACTGGAACTTGAAACCCCGTCAAACATTTAGACATCTAACAGAAGCTTTATCCAAAGTCAATCACAGATGAGCAACAATCTGGATAGCAGGACCCCCCCAGTGGTTGTGGGTCAAAGTTTTGGTCGGTTGTGTTTTAGCTATCAGACACCAAGCAGATGCCCAAAAACACAGATTAAAAGCCCCATCTTGGCAATATTTTCACACTAATGTCATCACTTTCCCCTTGAAAGCTGAGCCAATGGGAATGAGCCTTTCTGTTTTTTCACCATACTGGTGGACATGAGCTGGGACTTCTGTCAGAAACTAAAAGGTGACCGGCTGGACTCGCCCACAGCTACAGTAAGTCTCAGACAGGTCCAGCAGGAGGTGTAGAACCTCTGTTCATGGAAATGGAATCACTTTGTAAAAAAACAAATCAAAACTCAACCTATTTCATAATTGATATCGATTCTGAGGTTCAGATCATACCAGCAGTGAGACACATGTTTCAACTGAACCATTTCAGGTGCCTTATTTTTCAGATATCTGTTTCTAACAATAGTCTTTTTTAACCAAGTTTAAACTGATAAAATGGATTTATAGATTGACCTGTTTAGGAGTTCATTAGTAAAGACACTGAGCAGAGTCTGGACTAACACCCTGCATGAGTACAGCACCAGTGGAAGGTTTGAAAAATGTCCCTCCTACTTTGCCGAGTGAACCTAACGTCGAGGTCAGCTTACCCGAGTGGATGAACATGTGTTTGCTGTAGTTCTTCCTGGAACGTAAAGATTTTCCACAGTGTGTGCAGTCGAACGAGGTCTCGGATCCCTGGGAGGATGGCGAAGGCCCCGCGGAGCAGGAGGAGGTGGAGGGAGGCGGGGCGGGGGCCAGGGGGGCGGGGGGAGGGGCCTGCTGCTGACCGGGCTCCGTTCCGGGCATGCTGTCCATCCCCGGCATGGGCCCGCCGACGTAGAAGGGGGCCGACTGCGACTGGCTCACGGGGTACTGGAACAGAAGCTGTGGGAGAGCGGGGAGGTTGGCATGAGGGGTTCTGAACCGGGCACCGGAGGCCCCAGAAGCACCAGAGGCCCCAGAACAGCCCGCCTGACACCACAGCTGTCATCAGACATGATGACGGGGGCTCCTGGAGGTGAGTGTGTACTCAGCATTTATCTGGCAGAGCAGAAATGATGGCCTTTAATTCTGAGATGAAGGAAAAAGGAGGCTGTAAAGGCGACCAAAACGGGAATGGAATTAGTCTCATCGCCACCAGACATAATAAAAAAAATAAAGTTATTCAATCATTTTAAATACAGCCACTATCTAGTAGATACAGCACAGACAATTCCATCACCAGAAGCTATTAGGGGATTTTTTACTTTAACTGAGGCATCATCAGCACTCTTCATATCAGATCTTCATATCCTCTCTGACTTACAAACGTTAGCTGGGTGTTTTAAAAGAACCCCTCTAAGGATTTTACAAAAGAAGCAATTAAGTCCTGTAACAGGATGGATAAATAACAATCAATCGATACTAAACTTAACTGTTACAGACATAAGTAATTATTCAGAACAGAATCTCTGTCACTTTTGCCCTACTCCCTTCACCAGTAACTCAGACAAGGGGCCAAAAAAAACTAAACATTTCCTGCATCCAACTCAATTTTGGAGACTGTGGAGCTGCAAAAAGCCGCCTGAAGTTGTGAAAAACGTCTTTTATCTATTGCCACCCTGATCGTGAAGCCACGTTTCAAAGTGTGCGTCTTATGCCAGCGAGAACCCGGAGACCTGACGGCAGACCGTCTCTCGGTCTCCATAACAACGCCGACGGCAGCAGTTAAATCCACAGGGCTCCTCGTCTTCCTGTGCGCGGTCAGCGTGCAGCCGCGGCCCTCTGCTCCCCTCCTGCCACCCCGAGCTACGCCGGTGGCGGGGGGGCAGCAGAGGGAGAGCTTCCTCTGACATAAAGCTGTCGGGCTTTTGGAAATGAAGAAGCTCTGGGTGCTTCATGTAGCACCGGGCCGACATTTGCGGGTGGGGAAATGTCGAGGGTTGGCCTGCAGAAGCTCTGAGGGAAGGTAAGAGTAGGCTAACAGTCTGCAGGAGAAACTGAAATGGTAATAAAAGTCTGTGCATACAAACAGTGTAACGGAGCTGCTGCTATTCTCTAGGTTTAAATCGAATGATTCGACTAACCGAGCTGAACCTGAGAAAAACAGTATGTGTGAGTCATCATGCAGCTCCTCGCAGTAACGTTTACCCCCTCTGAACATCCTCACTGACAGCTGTTTCTAACCCGCTGAAGTAACAAAATACTTTCGTACTGTAAAGGCAGTTATTGGTAATGAAGGAGTGCCTACATTTGTTCACTTTAAAGAAAATATCCGTAAATTCGTTTTGGACAAACAAATAGAGTTTTTATTAAAGTTCAAGTTTTATGTGAGGCTTTTAATGCTCCTATTTTAAGATGCTTACATCAGCCCAGTGTGGAAGTCTGTGCTGTTCATCAAAGCACAGATTTTAACACAATGCCATCATAAAGCTTTAAACCGGTTCTTTAAGACCTTCAGACTCATTGCCTCTGTTGTAAAACCAAACAAAGAGGTACTTTCAAATTTTGAATGTGCTTCATACGTTTAAGAAACACTCACCCTGATTGCCTTTTATAAAAAAAAAAAGGTAAGACATTTGAGGCTATACCCTCTGACACTGGTTTAGGGGCTAACTGCGTCAGATGGGATGAGTTGAGACTTTGTGCAATCCAAATAAAACTGAAATGAATCTGAACACACAAAACTTGTAGCAGCCACCCTACTTCAGCTAGGTCTGGGCGATTTTTCTATTTTATTCGTGATGTAAAATTAACGATTATAAATGAGACGTTCGATAAGCTGACTTTTCACAGAATACCCAATCACATCTAAACCGCTCTGCACGTAACCAATCAGTTGGAACAGAGCCACACCTGCGTAGAAGCTAGCAGCAGGTTAGCAAATCATTTCTCCAGCCAAACCGTAAAACCTTCAAAGACTTTAAAAATGAGCGAGAACTCTGTTGATTGGAGTTTTGAATTGGAATCGGACGAACAGAGCAACACACTGTGCAAACTTTGTAGAAGGAATGTAGCTACTAAAGCAGGAAACACCAGCTATTTTTTTCAGCATTTAAGACAATGCCACCCACTAGAGCACGCACAGTTATGCATTATGTTTGTTACATTTGTAATATTCCAGAAAATAAAATAAGGCGAAAACCAAAAATCTCTCTGCTTAAGCAAACACACACT